ACAGAGGGAGGGAGAGACTAGGAAAGGTGGGAGGGAGAGAGGAAGAAAAAGAGGGTAGGGTAAAGGAGAAGGGGGGTGGGAGGGACTGATGGAGGGAAAGAGCAGCAGCAATACCAGAAACAATTAAGGGGAGAGGAGAGGAGATAGAGAGTGGAGAAACAAAGAAGTACTCAATAGAGGAGAAGGAAGAGAGGAGGGGAAGTACAATTGGAGGATAAACCAAAGTGAAACGGGAGAAACCGGTTTTATAAAGGGAGAACAGGGAGAGGGAGGGAGGGAGGGTCATAGGAGGATAAGAGGAGACGAGGGAGTGAGAGTGGGAGTGTTGTACCAAAATAGGGTTGTACCAATATAGGGTTATACTAAAACAGAGTTCACCAAAATAGACTTTTTTATAAAATAAATTTGTCCCAAAACAGGGTTGTATCAATATTGGGTTATACCAAAAAGTACATTACCAAAATAGAGCTGTATCAATTTAGAGTCATACACAAATATGGCTGTGCCAACATAGGATTGTATCAAAAGATTGATGCACCAAAACAGCGTTATTTCAAAATAGAGTTGTATCAAAATTGGGCTGTACCAAAAATAGGTAATAACTGTTCTAAAGGTTGCTGCAGAAGGATGAAACCGAGGGAGAATAAGGGTGCAGAGAAGGTAGTACCAAGGGCCTGGGAAGGAAGTTGTACCAGAAGGAAATGGGGCTGAACGGGCTGGAAAAAGAAGGCCGGTGCCGGGACATATAATGCTAGACTGGAAGCGGAATAGACGTCTGTATGAAAGGGCGAGGAAAAGAATAGGCTAAAAAAGGGAATGAAGGAAAAGATGAAGATGAAAGGAAGGAGAAAATATATATGACTGGAAAATGGGTTGAAAAAAAATATATATATTTTGGGTAAATGAAGACACGGAAGGGGGAGAGGGAGATAGGGAGAAGGTGAGAAAAAAGATGGATAGATGGATAGAAAAAGCTATATATACATATATATTTATGTGGAAAATAAGTTGATATTGGAAACTTTTTCTTTCATCAAGTCTCGCTGCAAAACAAACTTGGCTCCGTTTATTAAGATCGGCAGACTTGGTCGTAAAGGATCTGAGAAAGAGAAGAGAGAGGAGAGGAGAGAGAGAGAGAGAGAGAGAGAGAAGAGAGAGAAGAGAGAGAGATGAGGAGAGAAGAGAGAGAGAGAGAGAGAAAGGAGAAGGAGGAGGAGGAAGGGAAGAGAGAGAAAAATGATGAGTAGATAGAGATAGATAGAAAATTGAGTAGAGAGGAGAGAGAGAAGAGAGAGAGAGGAGGAGAGAGAGAGAGAGAGAGAGAGAGAGAGAGAGAGAGAGAAGAGAGAGAGAGATGAGAGAGAGATGAGAGAGAGAGAGAGAGAGAGAGAGAGAGAGAGAGAGAGAGGAGGGAAGGAGAGACAGACAGACAGACAGACCGAGGGAGAGAAAGAGATAGAGACAGAGATAGATAGATAGATAGACAGAGGGAAAGAGACAGACAAACACTCAAACAGACAGACAAACAGACAACGAAACGGACAAAGAGACAAGGCAGACAAACAAACAGAGAAGCAGACAGAAAGAGACAAACAGACATAAAGCGAATGAATAATTACGAATCAGCTTAATTTATCGGATTTCTGCTCACATTGCAAAAATTTCCTTCTCCTCAACTCCGCGTGAATACATACGCTGACTCTCCCCCTTCCCCATAATTGCAGTTTTCCCCCCTCCCCCTCCTCCTCTTTCCCCCCTCCCCCTCCTCCTCTTCCCCGCTCCCCCTTCTCCTTTTCCCCTCTCCCTCTCCCCACCACCGTCTTCTTTTTCATCTCTTCTCCCTCTCTATTTCCTTGTCTTTCTTCCTCCATTCTCATCCTTTTCCCCACCTCCTGCATCCTCTCCCCCTCCCCCATAATTGCAGTTTTCTCCCCTCCCCCTCCTCCCTCTTTCCCCCTCCATCCTCCCTTCACCTTTCTTTTTCATCTTTTCTCTCTCTCTATTTCCTTGTCTTTCTTCCTCCTTTCTCATCCTCTTCCCTACCTCCTTCTCCTTTATCCCTTCTTTCGTTTTTTCGCTTTTTCATCTCTATACATGTTCGTCCCCTTTCTTAAGCTTTCTCTGTCATTCTCTTTCATTGTCTTATCCCTTACTCTATCTCCTTCCCTTCTCTCTTTCCCCCTTCTTCCTCTACCCATCTTTACCTTCCTTCTCATCTCCTTCATCTCCCCCTCCCCCTGTCCCCATCCCTTATTTCTCCCTTTCTCCCTTCCTCCTTCCCTTCTTCCCATCTCTACCTTTCTTCCTTTTTCATCTTCTTTCCTTCCTCCTTCCCCTTCCCTACCCCCCCCCCCCCTTCCACTTCCCTGGATTCCTCCACTTTTATTTCCCTTCTTCCTTCACCCTTCTTTCTTCTCTTTCTTCACCTCCCCCTCTCCTTCATTTTCCCCTATCCCCCATCCGCTTTTCTTCCCTCTTCTCCCCTGCCTCCTTCCTCCTTTCCCCCTTTTCCCCATCCCCACCCTTCCTTCCATCATCGCTTCTCCTCCTCTCCCTTCTATCTTTCCCCTTTCTTTTCCTTCCACCATCTTCTTTCCTCCTTCCTCTCTCCTTCTTGGCCACTCCTTCTCCTCCTTTGCTTCTCTTCTCTCCCTTCTCCCCTCCCCTTCTTCCTCCTTCCTCTCCACCTTTCCTAGCCACTTCCCTTCCTCTCTCCCCTCTCCCTTTCCCCTTACTTTCCCCCTCCTACATCCCTTTATCTTCTTCTTCCCCCTTCCACCCACTTCCTATCCCTTCCTCCTATTCCTTCCCATTCTTCTCTTCTCATTCTTTACCCTCCTCCTTTTCTCCTCCCCTTCCCTTTACCCCTCCCCTTTCCCTTCCCTTCTCCCTTTCACCCTTTCCTCCCCCTTCTCTTCCCCTTTCCCTCTTCCTTTCCTCCTTCCCTTCCCCTCTTTCTCTCCTTACCACTCCCTCCTCTTCTCCTCCTCCCCTTCCCTTTCCCTCTCCCCTATCCCTTCCCCCTTTCCATTCCCCTTCCACTCTTTCCCCTCTTGACCTCCCCTTTCCTCCCGTTCTTCCTCTTTCCATTCGACAATTCCTCGTCCTTTTCATAGCTCTTAGGACGTGTTAAGCAAGAGGAGAGAGAAAAGAGAGAGAGAGAGAGAGAGAGAGAGAGAGAGAGAGAGAGAGAGAGAGAGAGAGAGAGAGAGAGAGAGAGAGAGAGAGAGAGAGAGAGAGAGAGAGAGAGAGAGAGAGACAGAGACAGAGACAGAGACAGAGACAGAGACCGAGACAGAGACCGAGACCGAGACCGAGACCGAGAAAGAGAGAGAGAAGAGAGAGAGAGAGGAGAGAGAGAGAGAGAGAGAGAGAGAGAGAGAGAGAGAGAGAGAGAAGGGAAAAAAGAGGCCGTGTTTTCCCCAGGCATCCGTAGCGCCCAACTGCAGCGGCACGCGGGCATCAGTTTGGAAAACAACTACATAAAAAGTTTTATAGAGGCCCTAAATTTGTGTCCTGAAAAGAAAATAAAGAAATGCCCAAGCAACGCCGGGTACGAGTGCGTCATTTCTTGCAATATGGAGTTCGCTTTTTTTTTTTTTTTTTTTTTTTTTTTTTTTTTTTTTTTTTTTTTTTTTTTTTTTTTTTTTTACTTCCTGTTTATCTTCTCATTTCCTTTTTCCTCTTTCTTTCCTTCTTTTTCTTTATTCTTTCTTTCTTTATATCCTATATATTTTCTCATTTCCTTTTTTTCACCTTCTTTCCTTCTTTTTCTTTATTCTTTGTTTTCTTTTCTTTTTTAACTTCCTATGTATCTTGTCACATACTTTTTTCCCCTTCTTTCCCTGCTTTTCTTTTAATATCTATTTATTTATTTTTTCTTACTCCAATCCTATTCATCTTCTCTCTTCCTTCTTATATTTTTTCCTCCTTATTTTCCTTCGACTTCCTATTACTGTCCTTCCTAACACTTTATTTAGCATGGATCGTCCGTCCTATTTTTTTCCCTCCTTCCTTCATTCTTTCTTGCTTCTTCCTTCCTTCCTCCTTTCTTCCTCATGCCCTCTTTTGTTTTGGTCGTTCGTTTTTCTGTTGTTGTTTTTTTTCATGTATTTATTTTTTCTTGCTCTTGTCCCCCTCTCCTCTTGCCTCAAGTTTTTTTCTTCTTTTCTAACACTTATTCTTTCTTCGATTCTCTCTCCTCTTCCTCGTCCTCCAATTATTTTTTCTTCTTCCTCCTCCAATTTATTCTCTCCTCCTTATCCTCCTTCTCTCTTCCTCCTCTTCCTCTTCTCCTTCTTCTCTCTTCTTCCTCTTCCTCCCCTTTTATCCCACTTCCTATTCTCTCTGTCTATCTCCTCCATCCATTTATTCCATCTCTTTCTTTCCTCCTTGCTTCCATCTTTTGCTTTCCCTTCTTCCTTCCTCCGCCTTCGGCCTCCTCCTCAATTTCCTCTTCCTCCCTCCTTTCTCCATTCTTCCTTCATCTACTTCTCCATTCAGGCTTTCCTTTCGTCGCCTACATCTTCCTTTCTCTTTATGCCTATGTTCCTTTGCCTCACTTCTGTTCCTCTTCATCTCCCTTCTTTATCCTCTTTATCTTCCCTCCTCCTTCCCATCTCCTCCCCATCTCCAACTTCGTATTTCTGCTCATTTCCTCCTTTCTCCCTTCTCCTCCATCCCCATCCCCACATTAGCTTTTAGTCCCTCTTACCTCTTGCACTCGGCCTCCCCTCTGTCTCCCTAGCTCGCAGCCCCTCCCCCTCCTTCCTCCTACCCTCCCATTCTTCCTCCTTCCTCCTTTCTTCCTTCCTTTCTCTCTCTCCCCCTAGCTAACTCTCAGCCTCTCCTATTACCTCCTTCCTCCTCCTACTCCTCTTTCTCCCCTCCTCCTCCTCCAGTATCACCACCACCACATACCACATCCTTCCTCCTCCTCCTCCTTCTCTCCTCCTCCTCCTTTCCAACTCCTCTTCCTCCTCCTCCCCCCTCCCCTTCTTCCTCCTCCTTCCTCCTTCTCCTCCTCCTCTCCTCCCTTCCCCCTCCCCTCCCTCATCCCATTCTCCTTTCCTCCTCCTCCTTCTCCTCCCCTCAAATTTCCTCCTCCTCCTCTTTCCCCTCCTTCTCCTCCTCCCCATTCCCTTCCTTCTCTTCCTCCCTCCCCTCCTCCCCCTCCCCTCAAATTCCTCCTTCTCCCCCTCCTCCTTCCCCATCCCCCTCTTAGCCCCGCCCCCTCTAAGCCCCGCCCCCTCCACGAAGCATAACACATCAATCTCCTCGCACTCAAAATGCTCCTGACACGCCCACTTCCTCTAAGTAAAAAATTCGTGCTGAAAGATTAATTATCTGGGCCTTCCTGTGTTCTCGCTTTCTCGCTCCCTCCCTCTCTCTCTCTTTCGTTCTTGATCTTGTTTTCGCTCTCGATCTTTTACTTCTTTACGCTCTCACTGTCTCTCTCTCTCTCTCTCTCTCTCTCTCTCTCTCTCTCTCTCTCTCTCTCTCTCTCTCTCTCTCTCTCTCTCTCTCTCTCTCTCTCTCTTCTCTCCCTCTCTCTCCCTTTCTCTCTCTCTCTCTCTCTCTTCTTCTCTCTCTCTC